AAAATGGTGTTTTTAAATGGATATCGGATATGCGGTGTAATTTCTTTAATTATAAGCATGCATCTTTCTAATTTTTAATTGTTGGGAAAAAATTAGAATTTGATCAAACCATAGGGACCATAACTGTAATTTAATATTTATTTTACAATGATGTTTTTAACTCGTAAATAACAAGTTTAAGGACTTCTACTTAAAAAAATACATTTTAAATTAAAACATTGATTTTTTTGGGCTAAAACGATATTGACCCTAAGATATACTTTTTGGTAATGTTTTACAACTCAAACACGTAACAAATATAAACCATACAGCATAAGATTCACCAATGAGAAAAAGCGATCCGATGGAATTTGATTCTCAGATCCCTCTACTTTTTGACATTAGAAAACAGATTCTTCTTCCCAGAAAGTCATAGGTAAAATTCTCCATTTCCTTTAAAATTCGTCAATCATACTAATTTATAGCGTTTGAATTTCTTAAATCAATGTCCAAACTGAGAAATTCTCCTTTCAGTAGTGATTTCCATCTTATTAGTATGTATTGTTCTATTTGATTTTGCATGTGTGTGTAATTATGTATTACGTTAAACTGATTTATAATCCTTCAATCAAGAGATATGAATAATTATTGCTATGAAAACCATTCTATGTACAGGTATACGTGGAGACGGAAGATGCTTGTTTCGTTCTATTGTTCATGGTGCATGTTTGAGAGCAGGAACTCCAATTCCGAAGGAGAATGTTATGAAGGAACTTGCTGATGACCTCAGATCCAAGGTATTGAACAACTACAACTCCATTTAGTATTTATTTTCTTTAATATATTATCTTGATATTATTACTTAACACTTTTCGAATCTGAAATCTAATCATCAGTTTCAAGAATTTAAAAGTTCTAAAATTACTTTTGAGATTGAAATTAATCCATATGATTCTAAAAATTGTTACTTTATCTTTTGATCTGAAGCATAAGGATTGAGGAGTATTGTGATTTTTGATAGGTTGTGAATGAGTTGATCAAGAGAAGGTCTGAAACTGAATGGTAAGACCGAAGCTCAATCTTTAATGCTAAACAAGTGTAGCTTCTAATATAGAACTTGATTTAACCTTAGTATCTAATATCCAATGTTTCTTCTAAGAATGGCAAAATAGATGAATCATGGACATGGTTTTTATGCTTTTTTTAAATGATTATAATGTTGGGTGAGATTTTGAGAAATCAATTCAAATGTTGCAAATTTTGGGGATATTCAGGGGCGGTTTTAGGGTATTCCCGGTGTGGCACCGGCAACACCTGCTTTTCCTATCCGTATTGAAAAAATAATCGATTTTTTTACCTATTTTTCATGTATCGGTAGTATCTATGTATTACTGTGTCCGACCCTAGGGATATTACTTATAAATACACTAACATGGATTTTCAGGTTTCTTGAAGGTGATTTTGAGACTTATATCTCACATATGAAACAGTCACATGTCTGGGGAGGTGAACCAGAACTATTTATGTCTTCTCATGTCCTTCGGTATGTATCTAGTTTATTTTGTCAAAATCAAAACCTTGATGCATGCTAATGGTAGACTATTTCAAAATTTATCAGATAACTGAAAAGTTACGTCATAGATGAAAGGTTAACTAATAGATAAAAAGTTAGTTGATACATGAAAAGTAACCGCTAGCCCATAAAAGATAACATTTGGTAAACTTAAGCTAACTGAAATATGGAAAATGACATAAAACGACATGTAGAAGATTGATTTTTTTTTTTTTATAATTAATTGGGTATATTTTACAGAATTTAAAAAAAGCTCAGTAAACTAATTGAAATACCAGTGTAAAGGAGTTTTTTTGAGATAGTTTATAATCTACTTTTTAATTTTTTAACCTTACAACCTAAAGTAGTGTGTCAAACATAGCATAAACCATAAATTATACACTTTTTGTAATTTTGCATTTTATAATATTGTATCCGTTATTTACAGGGTGCCTATCAGAGCTTATATGAAAGATAAAAAGTCGAATTCTATAAAAGTAATAGCATATTATGGACAAGAGTATGGGAAGGAAAATCCAATTAGTGTTCTTTATCATGATTACGGACACTATGATCTTTTGCATTGAAGGTAAAATTTAGCAACACTTTGGGAATTGTTTTACAATGTTTTTTGTTTTCTGTTTTTGTATTAACATTATCAAGAACTGGTAAATATGACCAAAATTGTGTTTGGAGAATTAAATCAGATAACAAAAATTCCATTAAGAACATCTAGAAATTATGAACTTGATTACAACATGGTTATGACACTTTTTAACCAAAGAAAGATATATGGACTGTTTGATTTTTATAAGGTTGGAGTTTCAACATATGTTAAACACAAATATTTTTTATCCATACTTATTTTTCTTAAAAATATACTAAGAAATGCATATTTTCCATATTATACATTTCTACTCAATATGAATGGCCATTAATTAAACGAGTTTAAGAACTAGGAATCCTTCTATTACTTAGATTTTAGGAAATATATATATTCATTGATTCATGAAAAATGTAACAATTTTTTATTTAGATAAAATGTTGTTTTCATAGTTCTTAGTTTCTTAGCATTGTTTTCACGTTAATTATATAAATTGTTGGCATAAATACAAATAAAGCCAAACATTTTTCCTTTTATGTAATGACCTATTGATAAATTTTAGATCAAACTTTTCTGATTGCTACATTTACTTTTCATGATGTGCTTGTAATTGTAATCATTTTAGGTACAAGCTTTAACATTGGTTTTAAACTATATGATGTTACTCACGCCTAGCATGTGTCGTTGAGGTGGCCTAACCCAACACACACAGTTTTAACACTAGTTATAAAAAGAAAACTTATGGTATTAGACAATGATTGTCACACTTACAAAATAGCTACTCGATTTACTAGCTATCAAATATCGATATGTATCAAATGTTGCTTTGAAAACAAAATAATTTAAGCATTCTTTAAATATATACCACTATGGTATAAGCATTATGGTAACACCCATTTTTTATAGCGGTTACATAGATTGCTAAATTATGTTTATTTACTATGTTATGAGTGGGTAGCTTCCATGAAATATGGGGTAAAAATATGCAGGTGTCATAGTCCTGCTTTAGAAATGTGGGTCTTGATTTGTTGTCTTGATGACCCTTTATGAAGATTAGTGATTATTTGATCGAGTGGAGTTCTAAGGGACATATTTGGTGAGTTATGATGGGAACATTAATATTTGAGTTTCATATGGTTAGACCACAAATCATATTGGTGATAAACCTATTAGTAATGGCTGTGTTGTATTGGAGGAGAAAACATGACAATAAGGTTCATAAGGATAGGACTTATGCTTTAGCCCCTGAGGTTGATATCAGGAGTGGCCACCTAGAGCCTTGAGAGCATTAAACGTACCTAAATGATTTTTTGTTTGAATTAATCATGGATTAATGTTTATGAGAATAGAAAGCAAGATGTGGATGGGTGATGAGGAGTGCTATAAAGTCGGTGTGTACACAATGTACATGGTGGTGTAGACAACTAAGACTTTCTTGAGCTATGATACAACACTTCTTTACTATTGTCCAACAATATACCCAAACATGAATCAGTTCTCATCCTCAAAAGATTTCTCACCCTTGTGTGGGGGTGCTACCGACCTAACATCTCAAAATTTATTGTGTATAGTCAATCTAGATTACATGTCATAATTTCAAACCAATTGTATCATCGGTACATATAACTATATCAAATACTACTTGTTGGAGCTATGAGATATGAGTTATTGTCAGTGTATTAGAATTAGCAATGTATGAAGTACGAGCTATTGTCAATATATTCCCTAACCACAAGTTGTTCATGTATTATCATTTTTACTCTTTCAATTTATGCAAAATGATTGACCAACAAATTGTCTTATTACTAGATTGTCTCCCCTGTTCTTATTATTCCTCACTTGGCAAATCATTCACATGTAATCAAGAATTGGTATCATATCTACGCTCGTTTTTACTCGAGCAAAGATCACGATTGGTTATAATTTTAAAGATTTTTGAGTTTTTATCTATAAATATCTTGAATCATCATCTAAAAGCTTATTGTGAGTTTTACTAAATTTGTTGGTTGATTTAAACCAAATATAAATATTGTTTTGCTATTATACGTTACTTTTCTACAAATTCATCTTGGTTTATTAAGAATGTTTTTATATGTTGTTGAAGAAGAAAAAATATATTTTGGTTTGCGGTTCAGATGATCAATATAATTCCATGCATGAAAATGTTGTGTGTGTTGGATCTATAGCTCCATAATCATGTTAGAATGATATTTGATAATAAAATTTGATCCTAAAGTGTTACACCAATAACAAGTTGACTTAATTATAATTCTAGCAAATAATTAGAAATTATTTATTTTGAGAAAATAATATTATTCCAATTGAAGTATCATGGTTTATATCATAAGGTATGATTTATAAAGTAATGTACATCTTTTTGGAATTAAAGTCTTATTGTGTTTTAGCTAAGATGACATGGCCTTATAAAGTATAAAAGTTAGAAGATTTTATAAAAAGCTCTCTTCTTTTATATAAAAACCAAAGATAGTGAAACATGAAAAGTCGTGATTATTTTATTAAGAAAGACATGCATTAGAAGCATGTCTGGACAAAATGATTAAAAACATGGGTCTTAAAATGTTAAGACTCGAAGCGAAAAGACTAACTTGTAAAGTGCTTAAAGGCTTTCAACATATTCTTCTTTCTCTTAGCATGGTCTCTTGATTATTGTATTAAGAAAGACATGCTTTAGAAGCATGTCTTGAAAAAATTATTAAAAACATGGATCTTAAAGTGTTAAGATTCAAAGGATAAAGACTCGCTTGTAAACTGCTTAAAGGCTTTCAACCAATTCTTATTTCTCTTAGCTATATGAATGAAATTTTCATCTTCTATCTTCATTTTGTCTTAAAAGGTGTCATTAACTAGTTTGAAGAGTTAGATACTTTTGGTCTCCATTTAGAAAAATATTGACTTTTGTTCATAGAGGTTTAAGATCTTATTTTCCAAGAAGGACGATTATCCAAGTCAATTTGTTAATTGTTGGTGGATACTTATAGATGAGCTCTCTTTTACGCTGTTGTCAGCACTTCATCAACTTCTAACCTCCCCTAGAGGAATCAAAGACTGAACATATTGTTATTCTTTCTTCCTATGGTTGAGTTAATCTTTCAATTTTCATGCAAAATAATATTTGGTGGGAATAAAATTGTTTTATGTTGTTCAAACTTTATAATGCTTTCATTGTCAATTTTGTCATTTTAGAAACCAAATTTTGTATAAATCCAATCATTGGTATCAGAGTTATTTTTACCTGCAATTTTTTTCATAAAAATTGTCTTAGAAAAACAAAGTATTGTTTTATATGTAAATGTGTATTTAAAGTCCGTAAACTAGCCATGAACCATTTATGATGTTATTTGCGTTAATTAGTTTAATGGTTGGAATCAACACCAATAACATCACAAATGAACAATTTATGATGTTATTTGTGTTGATTTGTTTTAATGGCTATAATATTTATTTATTTATATGGTATGTAAAAATTAAATAGATAACTTTCATAATAAATTAGTGTTATAACAGTTTATATTTTATAAAAATGTAACAAGATTGGCGATTGGTGGCAATTTTGAAGATCAAACAAAAGTTTTTATAACGTTCCTAATTTTTTTAGGAAATTGCTACAAAGAGTTTTTTAAGCAAGTGGGACCATGAAAAACATCATGTAACATTTGGTTCTTATGTCCCTTAGGAATGGACTTGACATTTTTGGACCATGAAAAAAATCATGGAAGATTTAGCTCTTATGTCCCTTGGGAATGGACTTGACATTTTTATGATGGTTCACAAAATGTCATTTATGTATGGCTTGGATATATGCAAATATATTATGGTTGTGATGTTTGTTTTTAGATAATATTTTGAACATAAAAATAATCACATGGGGTGTGGGTTTATGCATAAAATAGTCTCAAATTGATTTTTTTTACAAAAAAAAAAAGTTCTAATAACTGGTAAAAGGTTGCATTCGGACCCTTTTCTCCCGGTTACGATCGAAAACAAATTATTTGAGACTATTTTTTAAACTAACCCAAAACATTGAGACTTTTGTTTAAAAACATTGTAACACCCGGTTTCAAGAAGTTTCTAATTTCGGGATAAAGAACCGTACTTCGATCATGTAAAGGTCCTGGACTACAAGGGAATAAAGTTTAGACCTTATTAGATGTTGATAATGTTAGTTATGTACTTTAAGCCTTTGAATTGTGTTTTGGAGAAAAAAGGGTAAATTGGGAAGAAGTGATATCTTGCACCATTTACATGTACTAATGAATTAAGCTCATTATGCATTAACTTGAAAAGTAATTAGATAGGATTATGGAGCTAGTTAATACCTTCGATTGCCTATAAAGATCACCAAAAACGAGTTTGGAGCAAAGAAGTTATGATTGTTTGAAGCTAGAATGGAAACTATGAAAGCCTGTAACCACGACATGATGAGAAGTCCACCACGGCGTGGTGAGATATTGCAGTCCAAACACATAAAATTAGGGTTTCCCTACGTAAAGCCTCTACATTCGTGTTTTAGGTCATTTCTTAGCCTTCGTCACATCAAGATCTCCTTGGAAGCACACCATATCCTCCTTTTCATAACTTTGAGTATATTCTCTCTCCTCTCCTCTATTTTCGTGCTTTTTGGGTTATTTTGGTGTTGTTTCTTGCAAGATTGATTGTAACATCTAATTCTGGGTCGTTTCTTATTTTGGGATTTTGGGTCGTAATGCGATCAAGTAAATGTCTTGGGTTTCAAAGGAATGAAGTTTAGACCTTATTGGATGTCAATAATGTTGGTTAAGTGATTTAAGCTCTTGAATTGTGTTTTATAGCCAAATGGTAAAATGGAAAAGTGATATTTCAGACTTCTTGCACAAATTAATGACTTTAGTTTTGTATGTTTTTAGTCAAAAGTAATCTTTAATATATATTAAAACATAAACCTTGTGACATCATCTTAAACAATCTGGGTCCTTGATTTTATTTCAATCCTATGTTTTCCACCCTTATATTAAATTGCTGACATCATCTTTCTCAAATGGAATGTATTTATTTCCAATAAAAGCTTTCCAATTGTCAAACGTAATTAACTTACATCCGTTGAAATGAAATGTATTCAATTCCAATAAAAGCTTCCCATATTTTAAATCTTGAATTTCCGGTTATAAAGATTTTAATATGGTTAACTTTAAAAACATATTACTAAAAACCATTTCAATTACGGCATTAAATATCAACCATTAATATAAATCCGTTTATATTAGTAAACCATTAATATAAAATCCATTTTTATTAGGAAACCATTAATACGAAAAAAATCATATTCAAATTATCACATACATATACGATTCATCGTTGAATCCGCAGCTCACACTTATTTTAATCGTTGCTTTTCTTCAAACCTTCTCCTACAACATCATTTTTATTTCTTATAACTTCCATCATCATTCTCCTCTTCAAACATTCGCTATTGTGCACTAGAAGGTCAATACCTTCTTTCGTTTTTTTATATTTTTTTCGATTTTTGTTCCTGTATCAAATATATGTATTCATATATTTCAATTTTCTTTGTCACAAATTCCATGAAATCGGTTAACTACTTTTCTGAAACTTTTCAGATAAATAGGAAAAGATATTACGTGCCTTTGATCCAGAAAAAAAAATGTACTTTAATAGAAACGAGTTAAAACACATTATAGCAAAGTACTTTGATGGAATGACAAATGCACCCCTACCCATTTTCCTGTTCATGGTCATCAATTTTTTTGTGTATTCATTTAGCATGATACTTCCATTTTTCATCCGAAAGGTAAATCATTAATTTAGTATGTACAATGCTCATCAGAAGGATAAATCATTAATTTAATTTAAACATGGAGTAAATCGTGAGCTCCTACTATTTCTGTTTGTTTGATTATCTCAGCCTGGTTACTGTTTTTGATTGTACATAATATCTTAAATTGTTGGATGAATTACCGGGATTGCAATCTTGATAAAGAAATCAAATAATCTGTTAAGATAAATATATGGTAATAACGAATGGAAAATGGAGGATAAGGGTATAATAGGAATAAAGAAATATTTTTTTAGTGTTTGAATGTAAATTAATATCCTAATATGATGGTTGAATTACAACAGTTATAACTTTAAATTCAAATCATAACTAAATGGTATTGATATTGTTGGATGGATTTTTTTTTAAATGTTAAGTATGACTTTAAGGTTTAAGGGCAGAAATGCAATTTTATTTGGGATATAATAAAGAAGGAAGATTCGAATTTACTTTTTGAAGGTATCAATAAATTCCTAAATTTATGTGATTTATTTTAATTTGACTTCAAATTAGATGAATGAAACCTTTAAGTAAGGAAATATAAGGGCAAAAGGGTAATTCGACTTAGAAAACTAGAAAAGCATTAGGCTAGAAAAGCAATTCACCAATAGATATTGAGATGACACGTGTACTAAAATGATTCTTTTAGCATGATACTTCGATTTTTATCCGAAGGGTAACTCATTAATTTAGTATGGACAATGTTCATCAGAAGGGTAAATCGGTAATTTAATTTAAAAATAGATCAAATTGGTTGCTGCTACTATTTCTGTTTGTTTGATTATCTCAGCTTGGTTATTGTTTCTAACCTTATTGTCAAATATAATAACTCCATATTATACCATTTTTAGGAATGTACTTTTAAAGTACATTCTTATACCATTTTTAACAGTAACCTGTTTTGAT